TGGCTATGGAGAGGCAGAGTTCCAGGCCCAGACTCCAACCGTAATTACCTTGTGCTATCTCTAGCCCCCTTAATGGCCATTTCTTGCCCATCTCAATGTCTGCCCTAACATCGCATTAATAACAGCTACACTTGGGGATGTATTAATAAAACCCTAGTTATTACCACCTGAAAGGCTAGGAGCGTCCGGATAGCATGTGAGGCCAACAGCTGAGGTTTTCTTGCTTTACTGTAACCCAGCTACTTAAATTTACCCCAATGCATTTGTACCTTGATTTTTGACTTTCTCTGTTCTGCTACTGTCAGCACTTCATTAAACTATCACTACATTAGAACATAAAACCTAAAGCTGTGTTCCTAGAACACCGTTATTCACATCTGGCTTCAGAATAAATGATAATTTATCCCCTTGGAGGTGAGATTGGTGGTTGTGAACCCACACTAACTTCAGAGGACAATTGTGAATAATTTTCTTGACGAATTGAGGTGAGACAATCTGCCCTAAATATGGGTGCACCATCCCCTGGGCTGGGGTCTTGACCTAATGAAGCGAAGCAATCTAGCTGAGCGTCCACTGTTTCTTGGCTGCAGATGCAGTGTGACCAGCTGCCTCACACTCGCTCACGATGGCACGTGGTCTCCACCGTGAGGGACTGTGGCCTCCAACTGTAAGTCAAATGGACACTTTCTTCCTTAGGCTGCTTTAATCAGGCGTGTGTCACAGAGCTGAGGCGTGTCACAAATACATGGGCATACCTGAGGAAAATAGTAGCTGATTTTTCACATTTTTTCTCCCTATCAAATAGGATCTTTTCTGATCTGCATTTCTCCCAGCTCACAGTGACTTTGAGATGAAACAGACGGCCCAGCTGAAACACAAACTTCAAAATGGTTCAAGCTTCGACAGTGTCTTCACAGGGGTCACAGATTGTACAGAGGAGAAGACGAGTAGGGGTCCCGTAGTCCTCCTTCCTCTTTCAGTTCCAGGCTTGCTCAGGCTGGGATGTTCTGAGTAAGCAGACAGGTTTCCCACCAAACGTAATCGCCTCAACAACAAAAGCAGAGCATTATGAGGCAGACACTCATAAATAAAACATACAGAAATTATCTCTAACCCCGTGGATGATGTGAAAAAAACAGGTTCTATCCAGATTTTGCTTCTAGGGAAAGGACATCTTGGACAGACCTGGGATGTGATGTGCTAAAGCCCAGAGTTTGAAGGAGAGATAGAATTCAGATATAGTTGTCAATATCTCACAGAAGGATTTGCATTTGGGGATTCAAAACTGTGTCTTTCTTACATTGGTGTTAAAATGTGTCTTCCTTTAAGGTGGAGGTGGTAAGGGGTGGTGAATTTACATGAAAATTTGTGGGAAAATAACTGAGTAGCGGTTTGAAAACAAAAGGAATTTGTGAAGAGAGATCCAAAAGCAGTATGGGAAGTTTATCCACAAAGAGACATCTCTTCAGACATGTGTGTTTCCTTTCGGACATCCCTTCCTCTGCCTCCATTCTTTCTTAATATGAGCTGACATAGGCACACTCTAATTGGCCAGCAGCCTGTGCCTCAAGGGGATTGATTGCTGGTGCTTCCTTCCATAAGAGCACCCCTGATTCAGGGCCTGGATTGAAACTCAACAGGTGCTAGCTATGAGGGAGGCATGAGGCAGGACCATGAGCTGCAGGCTGTGTGTGTGGGTGTACAGGGTAGGGATTGGCCCAGAAGCACTGCCACCTCTGGGGCAGGAAGAGGACAGAGTTTGAGGCCCTGCAGGTCTGAGCTAGATATGCCCCATGTCTGAAGGACACACAGGGCACAGACATATTTTCAGTGGGTTCTTTCTCGTTCCACTGTGTGCTGCAGGGAGCCAGGTAGTGGGCTAAGGCAAGTTTTAGACCACCTGGGATCCTTGACTCTTGGAAAACCTAACTGAGCAAAAGCGAAAGCTAAAAGTGAAGTTTCTGTGTGAATGCCACACAGGCCTTAAAAGAACACAGGAAGTTGTGAGCTGGGAGGGAAAACAAAGAGGTCCTGGGATGGAGGGAGCAAAAACAGTAAGGGAGAGAGAAGAAGAAGTAAGCAGGAGGTTGGGTTGGGTGGGGTGGGTAGGGTGGGGTAGGTAGGGTGGAGTGTGGGAAGTTGGGAGTGGGGTAGGGTGGGGGACGGGGAGAGGTGGGGCAGGAAACAGGTAGGGGTTGGGGAGAGACAGAAAGTGACCAGGGAGGGTATAAAACGTATTTCAGAGAAACTGTCAGTGGGGTGGACATGAGACCTTGAATAGGATGTGGTGTTATTTCTTCACAGTAGGAAGGAAAGCAAGTCTTCAGGCGTGGGATCTTGACTTCCCCAAGTACAACATGGGTTAGTCTAGGGTAGCTACAGGCATGTCTTTAGAGAACTGGTTCATGGACTGCAGGTCGATGATGTAGGGCGCCAACCGGCTGTCCACCTGGCCCAGTACCACGCTGCCCCCGGCTTGGGGACTCGCGCGCACCACCGCCTCACGGCCGGGCTGTAGGGACGCCAGCGGCCGTGCTCGTTCAGCCATTCCCACACCACCACAGCCAAGGCCAGGAGCATGGCGAGCGGGCCTGGCCACCTGCGCTTCCTCCGGCGCCGCTGCCTCTGGGCCTGGACCGCCCCCCCCCCTCGCCCCGCGCCCTGCCGACGCGGGCAGCCTCAGCTGTGGCCCATGGGACAAGGACCCCAAAGGAGGAGCCCACTCTCTGGAGGAGGGCTCCTGTCACAGCTCTTGCAGGGAGCACTACACACTTGCTCAAAGGGAATCCTGAAGTCCTGGCTGGAGAAAAGCAACAGTACCAGGTTCTGTGCAGATGGAGGAGAGGCAGGGGGACCCTGGGAGTGTGGAGGAAACCTGTGGGATTCCTGGCTTCCATGGGGCCAACCCCTGCAAAGGGCAGACCTCAAGACTTTAACAATCAGAAAGAAGCTGCTGGTGCCCACAGAGGAAACGCCCTTGTCAAGAGTTGTTTTTCAAAACACTTTTCAGTTGGAAAGGCAGACTTTTCAACCCCCATGAAGAGGAGTTGTCCACTCCGGAAACAATGTGTCACAAGCAGGCTGCTTACCACTTACCTCCTGTTAGTCTGAGTGGAAACACGAAAATTTGAAAAATATTACGTTGTTGTATTTCAGGGCACTCAGTAAGAAATGCACAAAACGTCTCTTTAGAATACATGCTTATTACATGCTAAAATGCTAACATTTTGGAACTGAATTATTAAAACACACTATTAAAAGTTAACAGCAACAAGAAAAGGGAAAGTTAGGGAAGATGCGAACTCTACTAATGCACATTTTCCTCTTACCCTGAGAGGAGAAGGCTGTGCTGACCGGAAGTGTAACAAACATCTTGTCCTGTGTCTGAAGACTGTGGCACAGCCTGATTGACAAAACCCAATACCTTGTATAGGGTAGAGTTTCTATGGCAAAGAAGATTGTAAGTCTGTATAAAAGAAACGGCTTCCTTCCCTTTTCAAAACACGTGTGCACACACACACACACACACACACGCACACACACACATATCACACATAATATATTGCATTATATGTATTACTTACCACACATATATAATACTTATAAATACATACATACATTAGACATTTAGAAAGTTAATGATGAAACAAGGTAAATCAAAGTTTACCCCAGATAAAAGAGGTTCAGGAGAAGGAACCACGTGCTGAAAATCCCTAGGATGGTTAAAGCAGTGCATCCAGGAGACCAGTGAGGTCAAGAAGTCACACTGTCAGGTGCAATTCAGGAATCGCCACCACAACAGGCTCCTTGCAGAGCCGATGCCAGGCACTGCAGCCTGGCTGAGCTACTGCTGCGGGTCTGGCTATCCATGGAGCTGGTGGCTGCACACACACACTGGAGATAACCAACTGTTGGAAGCAAGAGGGCAGGCACATGTGGTTGGTATGACAAAAGCTTTATTTTATTACGTGGAGGGTCATCACACAAGGTTTACACTCTAATTTCCTAACTGTAGACCTAAGGCGATCTCCTCAAGGCTGCCCACCCATAAAATATATCTTAGCCTAAGGTCAGGTCCAGTCTCTAACAGTGTCAGGATCCCAGAGGAGACTGCTGCAGGGCAGGTCAAGATGGCATCTCTCCAGCATGGCTCTCCAGCAGTCCTGCCTGAGGATGTGTGGAGTAGAGCATTGCTCTTGGTCTCTGATTACACACTGTCCTCATTTACTGTCCAGTGGGCACCGTGGAGGTCTAGTAGTGTGTTTGGTTATCCTGAGTGAGTGATGTCACTGGGTTCTGGTTATTAGGTGCAGCCTTGGGTGTAGTGGGGTTCCTGCCTAAGATATTTTTGTGTGTCTAAAAGGCATTTTCTTTTTTTGTTACTATGTTCATCACACCAACACTTTTTCTGGTCATTGATGTCAGAGGCTGGAGAAGAAAGATGGCCTCCACTCTCCTTTTATCTGTCCAAGAAGATGAGAGTTCACGTGCTGTGGGGGGTCCTGCAAACCTCTACTGCCAGAAGAGAAACAAGGAGCAAGAGGCAAGAAGGAAGCCCAGTTTGGCACAACTTAGCGAGTTGATCTGTTCAAACGTCTGGAGTCTGACTCCAAGCAGTTTGTTTTTACATTATTTAAACATAGTACAACTTTGGAAAATTATTCCCGTGACAATGATCACAACAAAGCTTAAGGCTTGGCTATATGGAAACTCCTTTACAGAGCACATGTCGTTTTCAAAGTGCCTGTGATTCATCCACAAGAATGGGTTCTAGTGACTGAGAATGCTCAGGACAAGGGGGACTCCACTGAGGCCTGGCTTTACAGAATAGCAAAAGATCCAGATTTTATTTATTTTTTATTTTTTATTCTGTCTTTTACATCATTTATCTGGATGCCATACATTTCCCCTTCCCTTTGCATCCCCCCCCCCCCCCCCGCCCCGGCCTCCTCCTTGTAACCTTCTCTTCCCACAAATAAAACAAAATTTAAGGGGAAAAAATTAAAAAGGGAAAAAAAATTAAAAATCTAGTCATGGAAGACATCTTCCGCTATGCTGCCACAAGACAGATGATCTCCAGGTTATTAAACAATATCCACAATAACCATTCCTGCCTTCAGGGTGAACAGATAACATTTTCTTTTGTTGAAGAGAAAAGCCTGTGTGTTTAACAATTGTCATTTCTCTACTGCTATCTGTACATACATGGATCTCTCGCCTTCTCCAGCTTGTGTGGACAAATATGATTTATAGTCCGGATGGACTCGTTAGCCTGAGATTCAGCTTTTGGTGTTTCAGACACTGAACATCATGAGTTGAAAGGGACAGAGGCTAAGCAAACTATTCTCCATAGCTGCCCCAGTAGGGTTAGTGACTGCTGAGCTGGAGCGAAGTGCAGATACCCTGGAAAGTTCTCCCTCTGCTAGCAGGAGATGCAACAGAGGGAATGAAAGGAAAGAGATTCAGATGGTCAAAGGATTTTGAAATCTTGTTAGCAATCATGAATCACTCTGCCAGTTATGAAGAGAGAGCAAACTACAGGTTTAGAATAGGAAATACCAAATTTTCTGTAAGAGTGTGTATGAGCTGTTAAGTGAGGCTTGAGGTGGCTTCCAAGTTTTAAAAAGCTGGTGAGAACAACAATTTTGGAAACTGATTAGAGTGCTGATATTCATTTTTCACTGGGTACTAATCCCAGAGTCTCATGCATGCTAGCCAAGTGCTCAACCAGTGAGCCACATTCCCAGCCTTCTTTTCGAGTTAAAGTGAATGCTTTGAAAGTCAGAAAAAAAATGTATTATTGCCTTTAGAAAACTACTGAGAGATGCTGGTAGCAAAAGGCCATGGGAGTATACAGCAGGTGATAACTAATGTTCAAAAGGTCAACCTATCAGAACCAAGGATTTTGATAGAGGAAACCATCACATAAGGCGTTTTGGAATTACTGCCTTTTGAATGATTTGGCTATTTCTTGGTATAACCTTGTTATGTCACACTATTATATTTCCCATTACAATGCATCTTCATGTAATGTATATATGTAACCTCAAGATTACATCTCAATCTTATGGGCACATATATCTGTTGGTGGTCAGGAAGATGATTGTTCATTTAGTTGTATAATTTTGATATATAGAAAATATGCCAGATCCATTTTGCCATGATACTGTTGACACTTAAAGTCTGCTTTGTTCCTTTTGCTCAGACTAACACAGACACAAAACACCCTAAGAAAAGCCTGCCAATTCTTCACTTACCAAGTCTGCTGATAAAAAGCTATGTCTCAGAGTTTGGGGCCCTGGGCACTGTGCCCCCTCCCTCTGGTCCTGAGACCTTGGAACCTTGGGTTACCATGGTAATAGCTCTCCACCTTATGGTCTATTCTAGGAACATGCAATGACCTTGAGGGTTTTGAAACTTTTCTCAGGATTGCAAAGAGTGTCCTGTTAGAAATGTGAAAAGTCAAACAAGAGAGGAGCTAAGAATGAGAGCTGAAAAGAAGCTGTAGACTTAAGAGACATGGGAGAATGGCAGAGAGATCAGAAAGCTTACTGAGAACAATAAAGAGATGGACTGAGAGAGCACACCATCACTGACTCATTTAATATCCTTAAGATTAGAATCAGCATCACTGCTGCTTGTAAGTGCCTTGTCTGGACTCTGGGAGAAAGTTTTTCAGGGCAGGCACCTGAAAAGCATTCCATAGAAAACCCAATTCTCTTAAAGAGAGAAAACGGGAACAAATTCTACCCAGCCCTCAAAAACCTACACTATGCATTTCTATATCCTGCTGATTTATATAATCTTCATTGTACATTTCTACATCTTGCTGATTTATATAGGTTTCATTGTACATTTCTATATCCTGCTGATTTATATAGGCTTCATTGTACATTTCTATATCCTGCTGATTTATATAGGCTTCATTGTATATTTCTATATCCTGCTGATTTACACAATTTTCATTATACCATATTTCATCTTTTTGCTTAATATCATCAAGGATGGATTCCATCCTTGTACCAAACTCAATGATATTGTAAACTCCTCTTTCATACTCACAAATGAACCCAGCAGTATGCATGGCCACCAGAGAACCATTACAGTCAAATACTGGAGATCCAGAAGAGCCACAATAAAAAGTATTATAGGTAAAGTCATTAGGGTTGTCAAATATTTTTTGGAAACTTCTCTGAGTATACATATGGTGGTACTTTAAAGAATGGCTATGACCTGCTGCTTCTGTTCCAAGAACACATTGCTGATTTTCCTCTCTTGGTTTACTTTGAGGGATCCCTGTACAACCCTCAATAACCCTTTGTCCTTTTGGATAGCCAATCATATATGTCAACTCCCTGGGACGTACAACAGCTATTCCATTATACAGTCCGGCAGGCACATGTTGTCCGTTTTCCTTCAGTTTCAGGACAGCGTAGTCAAGAGTTACATCAGATATGCCAAGCCAAGGTTCAATGCAAAAACAACTGTTGAAGTTTGAGGCTGGCTCTTTACAATCTTCATCATCAAATGTTACCCTTACACATTGGCTAATTAGGTCTGTACACTCGAGTGGCTCTCTTCCTTCTCCCACAATGTCATTTAATACATGCCGACAAGTGAAAATGTACAACCCTCTAAAAACGAAGCAAGTGGCACTACCCCTGTTTCCATTATTGTCCCAAACTAGGAGCCCAGTGGAATCAATAAACTGTGAAAGAAGTTTGAAGACCTTACTTAAAATAGAGCTTTTTGTCAGTTCCCGGAACTTCCTCTTATGGACTTTAAAAAGAGGTCGTTCTTTACTATTTTCAATTTCTTCCTTAATGTATGCTCTCATTTTCTCACGTTCTGCTGTCAGTGTGGGGTACAAATTCACAATGTATTCTTTTAACTCACTGAAGTTTCTGTCTTCTAACTCAGAATTCCGAGTTGCTGCTACCGCCCAAGGGCTTTTCTTTCTTTCAACCTCAATCAGAAAGACCTTACCCTGTAACACATCAACCAGCTGGGTGTTTGCTATGATGGTATCATTGTGAATGAGTTTCCAATGGTCACTCTCCACAAAGGAATGAAACCTGCCATCTTCCCTCAGAGTGGCCTTGATGGTCTCTCCTTTGAAGCCATACACACAGACTTTGGTTCCCTCCTTGTCAAGTTCCCTGCACCTCAGGATCCTATTCCCGACTGCATGAATGTAAAATACAACACACTCAGCAGAAGACTGGTCAAACCGGCCACACACTTCATTATCTTCTTTCTCCTCACTTTCAGTTTTGGAAAAGGTAATGACCACATGGCTGCCTTCCGGAAAACAACGGAGGGGCACGCCAAGGTTTATGTACCCTTCTATTCCTTCTTTGCCACACACCGGCATTTCTTTGCCTGGCTGTCTTTCTATCTCTCTTTTGACAGGGTCAAGGGTGTTGAGTGCCTCATATAAGCGACCTGTCCCCCCATTGATGAGAATATGCATGTGTGCCTCGGGGCTTACCCCCAAGGTGATGTTGATAATTTTAATTAGGAGAGTGGTCTGATCTTGTCGAGTTTTCTTAGAGGAACAGAGTCTTTGGTCTTGGGTGTTGGGTATCTCATTTGGTCTTTTTTGAGGTTCTGTTTGCATTTGTGAAATTGGGTGGTCATTCTGCTTTTCCTGAAGAACCTAAAAAGAAATTATAGATACTTTAAATTTGAATCCCAACTCTATTCCTTAGTTTCCCTTGTTATTTTGCAATTCAAAGAATCAATGACTATGTTTAAATCAGGATTTAACCCAATATCCAAAATACAAGCCCAGCCACCTTAGCTTATCTATCAGGTAATATCTTCCTATTGTACATGGCTCCTTTCCCAAAAGAATGGGCAATAAGAAACACAACTGTTTCCCACATGTTCAACTATCTACCAACTTCCATAAAACCTATTTCAAGTATTTTATTTTATTTTCATCAATACAGTTTTTATCTTTGCCAAACATAGCAAAGGATGATATGTATCTACATTTGAATTTGTTCACTTTTGTAAGAGATTTTATTTGTATTTTGAATTCTGTGTGTGTATGTGAGAAACTATGTGGGCTTGTGCATGTTAATGCAGTGCCTGCAGAGATCAGAAGAGGGCTTCCTATCCCAAGGAGCTAGAGTTCCAGCCAGTTCTAGCCTCATGATGTCAGTGCTGGGCAATGAGCTCTAGTTCTCCTTAAGAGCAGTACATTCATTCAAAAGGCAAGCTGTCTCCTGAGCCACCTATTGTAGTTTTTCTGAGACCAGATTTCACCCTATAGCTGAGACCATTCTAGAGTAAAATTTCTAGCCCAGGCTGGCCTCAAACTCATGATTTTCATGCTCCTTCCATTTGTGTTCGGAAACCAGGAATGCACTACCATGTTCACCTTTAATAAATTCATTAAAAAAATTAGCAGAGATATGTTAGTGTGATTTAATATTTATTTTCCTTTTTATTTGCTTTTTGCAAGCATCTGTAGAGTTTTCGTGTGTATGTGCATGGGTGTATTCGCATGTGTGTGGGTGCATGTTTGCACAGTATATGGAAGTAAGCAGCTGAATTGGAGTGCTTTCTTTGATCACTCTACACTTTATACATTGATTCAGAGTCTCTTCAAACCAGAGTTTTCTGATTAAGGAATCTAGCTAGCCAGCATGCTTCAGGGTTCCCCTGTCCGTTCTCTCAGGTGCTGCTATTACAGGTGCGCTACAATGCCCATACAACACGGATCCCTCACACTTCTGTGGCCAATGCTTTACATCTGAACCATCCCTCTGGGTGTTAATTTATGACTTATTTATCAGCCAGCAGTGAAAGCAAAATAACTCGATCATTACTTAGCTTAATTACTTGCTCATGAAAAATCAATACATTGACTCATCCCCTCCCCTGCCAACTACTATGCAAGGAACTCAATGAATTTCCTTTATTACATAAATCCACAAATCCTATGAATGGCTTCTCTTTCTTTTTTGGTGGAGAAATTGAGGATCAGAAATTACGTTCTAAGTGCTTTTTCTAATGTCACATAATAACTAATTCAAATTGTAAATACTCTTTCTAATGTCTTTTCCCATTAGACCATTCATGCTATTTGTAAAATTTGCACCCAAATGTCCCATTTGTATAGAACACTGTTTTAAGATCCAGGGAAGGAGAACCAGGCTTGATAATCAAAAAGAAAAAGTGAACAAAAATAAAAGCCTTTCATCCCCATGTTCCTACATCATTTTATCTTTGCAGAAGTTCACATGCCAGCAGTGTACTCACTGAGAATGGTAGGAACCATGGTAGAGTATGGTCAAGATTAAACCTGTCATCACTTGTCATAACTGTTGTTCTGCTTTAAACACATAAAAGAATGCCAGGTAATATAAATGTCCTGAGGGCATGTACAGAAAATCTCAGAAATTACCACTTCAGTCTAATTGCTGCCAGAAAGATCTGCATATTCCCTTGAGGGGACGCTGTAGCCGACTCCCATCAACCCAGTTTTCTTGGACAAATGCAAACACTACATCATTTTTTTTTGTTTGTGTTGTGCATTTGAGACCCTGTAACCAAGGCTGGCCTGGAACTTGACAACCTCTGCCTCTGTCTTCAAAGTGCTGGAACTACAGATGCCAGGCACTTTGCCTGCTTGATATTTTCGAAAGGAAAAGACAGATCCTATGTGTGGTTCCTAGCTTGTTCTGTCATGGAGTAGGACAGAAAAAAATCAGACCTAGAAAAAAACCCTGTTAGATTTTCTAGAACTCAGACAGGAGGAAACAAGCTGAAGGACTGGCAGTCTCAGCCTCATATTATTAATTCAAGAAGCATGTTAACCTCAGGAGAGTAACAAAGTCTTTCCTGTCAGCAGAGCCTGCAGAGCAGGAAGAGCTCTGACTTCAGGTAAGCAACCTTTCCAAGTCTCCACTTGGCCATAAAGAAATTGGAGGTGGAATCCCCTTCACCTACGTAAGGAGGTGAGGGTAGGAACTGATGTACAGAAAATCATGTTTATAAACCTTTACAGTTTATAGCACTTTACATGCTATGCAAATGTAGATGTTGTTGGGTTCAGAAGATTAGCCACACTCGGGGTAAGATTTTCATGCTCTTAAGTGCCGTGGATATCATTCTGTATAAATAAACACTGATTGGCAGGTAGCCAGACAGGAAGTATAGGCGGGACTAACAGAGAGGAGAATTGAGGGAACAGGAAGGGGAGCAGGAAATGGGCTGGAGCCACCGCCAGGACAAGCAAGATGTAAGGTACCAGTAAGCAACAAGCCACGTGGCAAAGTATAGATTAATAGACATGGGCTAAATATAAGAGTAAGAGCTAGACAATGATAGGCCTGAGCTAATGGCCAAGCAGTTTAAATAATGTAAGCATCTGTGTGTTTATTTTATAAGTGGGCTCTGGGGCTGGCGGGACTTGGCAGACTCGGAGAGAAAAGCTCTCCAGCAACACTTAAGTACTATTAATTTTGTTATTTCTACAGTTTAATGTAACACATTGCATATGGCCTTGTAAACATTTTTGTTTCAAAGACTGCAGAGACAGCTCAGTGACAGAGAGTTCTTACTGCTCTTCCGGAGGACCCAGGTTTGGTTGCCAGCACCCACATAGCAGCTCACAACTGTCTGCAACTCCAGCTCTAGGGGGTTACCCACCATCTTCAGGCCTCTGCAACCACACACATTTCAGTGTATGTAATATTTCCAATACTAATAAGGCCAAGTCTAAGCAGGAAGATTATGTGGCCAAGGATCTGGGATGATTAGTCTAGTATGAACACAAATCCACAAATGTTTACAGACATACCTGAGATGAACGGTACTTGATTTTCATGTTTTTCCTTAAAGAATTGTGGACCTCCTGTGACCTGTGCTTGCTATGGCTCATGGTGGCTTGGAGATGATGCAGATGGTTCACCTGAAATGGTAATTTCAAAAGTTTCATGTTATAGTAGTATCTTTACAGCTGTCACACAGTGTACCCAGGAAAAAAATGAACTGAAGTCCCAAACCCCATCTTTCCTCTTCAGCTTTAATGCCCCAGCTTGCTGTTAGCATCAGATAGTTTATCCACCAAGCATAATGAGCCAAGTAGTAAAAGCAAAGGACTATATGTCAGGCATTATACCAAAATATCAAAATCTTAACAGAAATTGTCTCTAATGGCTCACCAACAGGACTGTCATGGAAAACAGGGTCCATCTAGATGTTTTGATTTTTGGTTTTTTCCTCAGACAGAATATCTTAGAAAAGATTGTGAAATGCTCAAGTGTACATCTTGAAACAGAGAGGACATTAAAATGTTGGTAACAATATCCCACAAAGAAATTTACAGTTGGAAAAATCAAAAGTGTGTTCTAGTAACATAGATGTTAAATCTCATCTTCGAAATTATAATGTTACTTGTGTGTATGTTTTTGAGGCTGACCATTCGGTTTTGGATAACCAGCTCGTGTGCTCTTCCCTAGGAAAGACTCTCTCTCCCACTCTCAGTATTCCAAGAATTTAAAAAGAGAGCAACCTGGTGTGTGTGTGTGTGTGTGTGTGTGTGTGTGTGTGTTTGTGATGGGAGGTTTGAAAGGGGAAAGGAAAGGGAAATGATGTAATTAAATTGTCAGCTAAAAATATAATTATTTAAGGAATTCTGATCTTCATTGAAGATGGAGATACAAAGTGATAACAAATGAATGGGAAACAGGAAGGGGAAACTGAGTAGCACCCTGAAAAAAAAATGAAATTTAGCAAGAGTTATCAAAAGAAATCTGGAAAAAATGCATGTAAAATGATATTTAGGAGCCTTAGTAACTGCTTTATTTTTTATTTATTGTTTGTTTCTTCTCCCAGGACAGCTTTCTCTATGTTGCCTTGGCTGTCCTGGAACTTACTCTGTAGACCAGGCTCCCTTGAACTTAGAGATCCATCTGCCTCTGCCTCCTAAATGCTGGGATTAAAGACATGTGCCCTTTGTTTAAGGAAGTATGTTTTCTCCTCCCTCCAACCCGCCCCACCCCCAAAGTATTTTCCTCTGCTGTCTCCACTCAGAATAAAGACATTTGTTATTTTCTTTCACTTGCTAACCTGGAAGGCCTTTCTTAACACACCTAACCACCCCACCACTCCTCAATGAGTAGAGAATGATGTCCCAGGCCCTCTGGTAGCTCCAGAAGGAAGCATCCCATTCTGTAGTCAGCTTCATAGCACATACAGCCAGCCTGAGTATCAGATTCCCAAGAGCCCATGTCTGCTCTCCATGTACTTGTTTTACTCAAGGACAACCCAACAAAATAAAATCAACCCAACAAAAATAAAAGCAACAGAGACAAACTACAGTGTTGCTGGTTACAGGTAGATTTGGGGAGGCCAAACCTAAAAGCTTTTCAACAACTGATTATACAATCGCCAAGGTTCCTTAAATGTTATCTTTACCTTAGAAATAAAAATACCCACAAACGACAGCAGAAGCACAAGGACTAATATAACATTTATTTTCTTACCTCCGGGACTGAGAGTTGCCGCTAAGAAGGCGGAAGTGATGTTACTACAGCACACGCGGGTGCTGTGGATGTTGACTTCCTAGGTCTTTGAAGTTGGGCTCCCAGAAACCTGTTGATAAAACAAAATTGGGGTTACTGCTCTTGGGGTAATGAAAAGAAGCACTTCACAGAGTCGAAGCAGTACTGAGAGAGAAGAACAAAGTTAGGTTCAGACAGTGTAGCACTTTGTCACGTCTTGCATCCTTATTCTAGAAAGAGGCCTACTCACAGAAATGTATTTGCGAATAAATCCCTGAGAAGTTAATTTTAGGGGTGACTCTTAAAGTGAGCCACCCGGTTTACAGACGCCAGCTTTAAGCATCAGAATGTGTTCTCCCTTGAGCCCTGGTTGTTCTCTGACTCCCCTAAGAACTGCAGAGAGCACACAAGTGGCCTGTGCTCTCTACACAGCAGGCACAGTGCACTGGTCTGCCTCCCTGATGCCCATCGGAAGGAGGCTTTTCAGCATTATTCCACCTCAAATAAATCCTCCCAAGCTCCAAGTCAGCCCCCAAATGAAGAGTAACTCACGTAAGCAAAGCGTTCTCTCCAAACGGAGCCCTCACTGGCCTGTGCTTCCGACTAGGGCCGTGAGAATCTCTGCTATTGGCAGGTCTGAAAAAGCGCGCCCAAGATAGAATGGCAGGGCCCTGACTGCTCGGCTCTCATTGCGCTTGTGCGCTTGTGCCACCTCATAGTGGCGGGAAAGGGGTGACTCCACCCACTGACGAGAGAGCACTCCATGCCCCTGAGCATGCTTCTTCCTGTTGGAGGATTAAGAGTCACAGCCAGGTTGCAGCTGAGTAGAAGAGCCCATTCCTCTGCAAGTTTCCTCTTTATTCGTGAGTATTTGAACATCTCCGTCCAGCCAGCCCCCCCTTCCAATAACCCCTCCCCCGCCCTGGTGGGTAGAAGTCCAGATGCAGATCTGACTACAAGCTAAGGGGAGGAGCCAGGGTGCAAGAGTTCCTGCCTCTCAGCTCTACCGAGGCAGGCAAGGTGCCCCAGGCAAGAACTTGGTCCGCAGGCAGGCGTCCTGAAGTGCTGGCTAGGGAAAAGATGGGGAACCAGGTCCTATGAGGACATCTGGGGCAGAGACTCTAACCACTGTGGCCAGGTGAGTGAGTGAGTTCTGTGAAGGAGAGAGCGACATCCCTTGTAGATGGCAGGTGAAGGCTTTGAGAACCAGGAAGAAGCTACAGACGCCTTCAGAGCAAATTCACTCTCGTGACTGTTACCCAAAGGAACCTGAGTGCCTGCTGCTTTCAGTCCTGATGAAGAACATGGTGTTTACTCCGGAAACATAAATTTCAAATATGCTGTTAAACCTAGTCGTGTGTTAATAGCAACTGAGAGATGATATAAATATAAAAATATCCCACTGTATGAAAAGGCACTTTGTATGAAAAACATGGGTTATCCAAACACATGTAGTTACTCTGTATTGAAATCATGAGGCTTTGAAATTGAGTTAAATAAATTATAGTACAAAGAAACTAAGAAGAATAAAAGGAAGCAGGGAGCGGGAGGCACACTTCCCCATTTTGCTCCTACCTCTGGGTGATGCACAGCTGTACTGACTAGAAGTTAGTTTCTTCCTTCGTCCCTTCCTTCCATTTTTTTTTTGTAGTTTTTGAGATTTATGTAACTACATCCTTTCTTCCCTTCCTTTTCCTCCTTCCGACATCTCCCATGTACCTCACCACAACCACCTTGTCTTCTTTCAAATATATAACAAAGTGTGTGTCTGTGTGTATACAATTTGTTTGGTTACAATCATGGTATGTATGTTTTTAGGGATGATCATTTGGTATGGGATAACCTCTTGGTGTATTTGTGTCTCTTTCCCAGGGAAGCCTATTTCTCCTGCTCTAAGCATTCTTTAGTCATTTATATTTCTTTGTCTAGGGTTTAGGCCTCATGAGATTTCCTTCTTTCCATGTTAACATGTCTATTGAGGTCATCCTTATTAGGTCTTGTTTAGGCAGCCATGTTAGTGAGACCATGTTAGTTAGTGGGTGTAACTCTTCTGACATTCTAGGAGACACAATTACACAACAAATTTCCTGCTCCCTTGCCTCATATTCTTTCTCCTCCCTCTTAGGACTAATCCATGAACCTTAGATGCAGGAGTTGTGCTAAGGATGTGTCAGCTGACACTGCGCTCCACAACTCTACATTTTAATCAGTTGTGGTTTTCTGTAATGGTCTCTGTCTGTTACAAAGAGAAGCTTCCTTGATGAGGTGTGGGTGTACACTTCTCTGTGGGCAGAGGGACAAACATTTATAATGTAGTTAGGTATTATGCTGGTTTAGAAAAGTAGCAGTTTTAGGTTCTCCTCCAAGATCCATGACTTCACTAGCTCTGAGTAGCTGGCTAGGTTTCTAGTACCAGACATAGGTTTCCTTTAGCTGAGCAGGACTTAAGTCCTATCGGAGATCTTTTTGCTATGGCAAGGTATTCATGCCACTGTGCACCCTTGGGGTCACTGTTCCATGCTGGTCACTCTTGTGGTTCATAGGCACCACAGCTGGGTAGGACCAGAAGTTGCATCCCTCCTTTGCAAGCTTGCATGACATCTGCTTCCATGAAAACCTGTCCTCAAGGCATTCAGGGTCGGTCTACCAATCAAGCAGGCGTCTTGGTTCATGTTGAGGACTGAGATGTAAGCTGTTTGAAGAAACATAATTATCTTGGTCAGGCACTAATTTCTGTGACACAGAAAATTTTGTGTGGGTGGAAGAGAAATTAATACCACCTGTTTGAAACCCATTTTTAAAGAAATTCAGTAGTTACTTCTATGTAATTTGTGATAAACACAAAAATCTAGAGTTTACAAACAAGATCTCTGAGCTGGATTCATGGTTCTTTCATAAAGAACATGTCCATACTGACAGTCCAACTGGCTGTTAACTGTCAAACTCCAGGTTGGTGGAACACAGAATAAAGGATCTTGTGCAGGACATATTTAGGATGCACAGAACAGTGGGTTCAGGGGACAGCAGTGGAATCAGTAAGTTCAAGAACATAGCCTCGGAGGTAACTCTGGAGTCAGGAAGCTGGATTAGGAAACAGTTTTGATCTAAGCAGCCTCCTCATAGCATCAAAGCAAATGCCAGATCCTCCAAGCCTGACTGAGTTGCTGCTGCTAGAGCATTGGTTATCGGTGAAGCTGAGTGCTCCACACTGACTCTGAGGTAGTCTACACTGTGATTTCTACACACTGACGCCGAGGTAATCTACACTGTGATTTCTACACACTCACCTTTCTGTGACTTAGCTTGCCTGGAAATGGAGCAGAAGCAAGATGGCCTACACTTTGTTCCTGCCTTTCATGAAGTTGTAAGTACAGAAGAACCCGATTTATATTAAGAAATTACTTTCAAATTAGTTGCTTGAGAGTCAGCCTTTGGAACTCAAAACTCTGAACTTGGTGAGAAAAATGGGGCAGTGGCTGGGTGACTTTTCTTACCTGCCAGAGAAAGGTTAGAAGTTGCTGAGCTGGGGGAAAGAAGCAGAAAACGTGGAACATTCTACTTCTACTGAGAGTAGAAGCTGGTGCAGTAGATGATATGCAAGGGAGAAAAGTCTGATTATCAAAGGACTTTGAAATCAGAAAGTGAGAATCTCTCTGCCAGTTACGATGATACATCATCCTAAGCATTTAGAATAGCAAATTCTAATTCTAACCCGGGCTTGCAGCAGAACTCCAGCCAAGCACCCCATGTCATGAGGCTGGAGTGTGTGGAATGAAGCTGAGCAGGGGCCTGAGATCCTCACTCTAGCCTACAGTGGAACAATAATGAATTGTCCATCCCACACCATGAGGCTGGGGTAGGATGATCACAGCCAAAAGCACCAACCAGGACCCTTTGGGCACTATAATGATCTCCTTGGGGAAACATGGCCCAGCCCAGTGTTACAGCAACCTGAATGAGACAGGGAGACTCACATGTAGAGCTAGGGCTGCCCACCCAGGACTCTGGCGAGAAAACACGGGGCCCACCTGGTACCTTGCTGCACCAGCCCATGGACACTACTAGAGTGAGCAGAGGTATGGTATGGTGCCTTATGGGAGAGAGGGGAAGAGAGAGGGGAAGAGAGGAAAGGGGAGAGGGGGAGAGGGAGAGCACACATAACAGAATGGCTGAGGTCATATCTGAAGAGATGAGAGAGGAAGGGATCAGGCTGAGATGGTGAGGGAGCTGAGCCCTTGATGAGCTGCAACACACAGGAAAGCAAGCCCTGCATTTTGTCTGGGAAGCAGAGCAGAGATGACCCTGTTGTTGGTGAGAGCACAGGTGAGCCAACCTGAGGACATGAGCATGGAGGTCTAGCTCCACCCCTCATCTGCCACATGGAGGCATGGGCTGGGGAGAGATGCTCTCCCCACCCCTCATCCCTCACACACACACACACACACACACACACACACACACACACACACACACACACACACACCATGTCAACCCATCAACGCCTGTGCCAGGTGGGAGAGGTGTCCTTGTGGTCATAAGAGCAGGAGAGCTCTGTCCCTGACCCCCACCAGCTGCAACACTCAGGACATCAGGCCCTGTACCTCACCAGGGCGGTACAAAAGAGACAACAATGTTATTGCAGGTGTGGGTGAACCAGCCCTGAAATTGTGACCATGTGAAATCTGTCCCCATTTCCCATCTGATGGACCAACCCTATATCTGCCCAGGCCCAGACCCAGGGTTATGAGTTGGCCTGTTCTAACATCCACCCCATCTATGATCTGCTGGAGTATGTGAAGGGACCTGACCCACAGACCCAAAGCTGCAGGATCGCTACAACACAGAACAGCAGCGGAATTCCAACAAGAGTCCTAGTGGTGGCCCAGCATTGATCCTGTAGTGGAAACCAGGGACCTCGAACCAACCAGACTCTGCAGCAAAGGGGTATACATCATGACTTGCTGGGTGGAACTCCAGCTTCCATGAAGAGATTTAATTTTTTTCTCTTTTAAACATTTTTTTCATTTTGTTTTCTTTCTTTTTTCTCTTGAATTTTGTCTTATTGGGTGGGGGGTGCAGGGGTGAAGGGTGAATGTGAAGGGACGGGGAATGAATGGCATCAATATATATGATGTGAATGATACATAGAATAAATAGACATAAATAAAAAATAAGAATAGCAAATTTGATGGCTTTTGTAAAGTATGCTGTACAGAAGCTGAGCATTTTAAGTAAGTAATGAGATGTTTTCTAATTTAAAATGCTAGTGAGGAAAATATTCGCCATTGACTTGAATTCTAATATGTACTTTTAACTGGTGATTAATCTCAAGACCTTGTGTATGCCAGGAAAGTGTTCTACTGCTTAATCACATCCCCAGCTTACTTTTAATTTCTGATTTGGCGATAGAACTTCAAGGTTGGCCCTTACATACTTGGAAGCCCAGGCTGTCTTGGAACTTGTGATTCTCTCATTAACCTCTGGAGTAGCTGATTACCAAATTGTGCTATCAGGCCCAT